CACAACCCAATAAAAATGTTTTGTGAGAGACTTAAGGCCTTACTAGTTCAGATCTCAACTCCTCCGTCTCACTTCGTAGACAAGATATAGCATCCTTCAACTCCTCTATAGCCATAGCTATATTAACAGAAGACAACTCAACCGAGACAACGTTTTCACAAACGTTCTCCTAAATCGGCAATGACTAGCTGTTGAAGTAGTGAAAGGCAATGGATTACCAAGTTGTGGGCCTCGTCGAAAATCACAATGCTTCCGGAGAGATCAACTCTGTGAATTTTCCTTAGCTGTGGATCAATAATGTAATTGTAAGGCAGCAACACTAATTCAGCCGTTTCTTGCATTTGGCGACAACGATAAAACGGGCAAACTCTAGAAGAAAACTTCAGAAAAAAAAACCAGAATTAGCAAAAATTTTGGCTTCTATCTAATAAGGTTTGAGCAAGGCTTGTTAATTACACAAGAAGCCGTAAGGTCGAACGTAAGATGTTGCAATTTTGTATGTTGAAAGAAGAAAAGGGCAGTCGTAAGAAAATATGTGGAACAAGTTTTACTTTATCCTGAACCAGATTCATAACAAAGCAGCTTGTTGAAGTTACGATGTGTGCGGTATCCTACACCAAAACGAAGAAACAAAAATAAATGAAGAAATGTACCCCTGCTTTCTGCCAACAGCAACCATGTCCTCGATGTCAGGAACTCCGCTCTCCACGGTAAAAATTTCACTGAGTTGGTCCAAATGAGCATCTGGAGGTTTTCAAAAATGTTTCAAAGTCAAATTACAGCGAAATGAATTTGAGCAAAAACACATAAAGAGATAGATACATAAGTATTTACTAAAAAATGTTGTAATATTGATAGGTACTGGGAACAATTTATAATTATAGCTTACTGTCAAAATTATTGTAGTAGTAACAGGTGCGCTTTGAGACCATACCACGACAGATGGCCGACTGCAAATTTTAAGATACGTTCTGATAATTTGTAGCAAAAATCAGATACGACTCACTTTCACTCTACTATCTACCTCTTTGCACACCCTGTCATGAATGCAGAGTTGATCGCGCGATCCTAACACTGTCGCGCGAATGCTGAGATTAAAGAGAAATTTATACTTCTACTAGATAGAAAGTTGAACCTACTCTTTATACATGGTACGATTTAGCTCTCGCACAACTTGTGCTAACTGACTGTGAGTACGGGAACAATAGTAAATCCTAGGTAGAAACGTTGCCGCCCCTACAAATAATTTGATTTTAAGAGATAAGCTGAGCTGTAAAGGGCAGAACAAGACGTAATAGGCAAGCAGTTTTTTGATATTTCTCCTACCTGGTCCGGATAGATTAGATACCCGGCGCTCTCTAGGACGAGAGTGCGCCAGACAATTAGATCCGCTGTTATCGATGAATTCCAGCCCGATCGAGCCTGACGCCAGGCGCATCTCATGCTCCGCCCGTCTCCTGCTCCGACGACAGCTATGTCATATTGCGGCCGCTATCTCAGCGTCGCCGAGGAACTATAATTTGGCGTCTCGTCTTGTCTCTCAGAAATTAGTTGCCCTGCAAGCGGTCTCATCTAAATCTACGTAGCTGGCTCGAATACGCGCGCGGCAAGACTACCGCGCGGCCATGGCAGCCACTGAGGCCATAGCTTAGTGATCTCCTTTTGGGAGGATGGTTCTTCCAAAGCAAGGAATGACGAAGAGTGATTGGGAGTAGTATTCAAATGCACTATTCTTTATTGGCCAACAATTGCCGCTCTTCTTATTAGATTCTTTAACAGGTATTCTCAGGCCTAAATTGAGGTTTTTTCCTGAAGTTTGTACTAGAACCAATTATCGCACAAATGTGTTTCTTAGAATTTAGTTTATTTGTGCATATGTTCCCACTGAAGCTCTGTTAATTTGGTATAGGTTCGGAGGCGACGAAATTACTATTTTTCGGAATGTACACGGGCTTGCGACGCACTTCTTCCTCTCCATTCACTTGGGCGAAGAGTCTTCCCTGAATATGCTTAGGCAAAAAGCGCCACAGTGTTTGCAAAATGCGGTAATTCTCTACAAGCGTTTCCGAATTTTGTTACCCTCCGCCACACACCCGTTTTCTTGGCCGTCACTTCATCTTTGCACTATACGGCAAAAAGCCATTTTAAGAACGCTTGAGCTTTCTGAAAGAACAAGGAAAGCCTTCCGCCCACTCACTAGCTGGATAATGAACAGTATGAGTTTTGAGTTTAAAGTGAAAGACCAATGCTTTAATGTATGAAGCTTAAATCTAGTGACTAAATAATTCTACAAACTACTTGTTTCCAAGAAATCCTTTTTATCAATCTCTATTGAATTGGTAAAGCATTTTCTCCTTTCTCATCGTTAGTGCTATCCACTGAAACGCTGCCGCATTCTACCGTCCTTTGAAGTTACTAAAACTAAGTCCTCTGGTCTACTAAAGTAAGATAATTAAACTTCTCACTATAGTGGAAGACGTTTCCAAAGTGATTTTCATATAGACTAATGACTGCGTGATGGACCTGCCCCGACGTAGATTAAGATGGCGCTCTGCAAACCAAGGCTCATACATGGTATGAAGAGTACGATTGGATGTTTTAACGTTTTTAGAACCCTTATAAGAGGATTCGTAATATTTTTTACTACATTTCCAGAAATTTAAGCAAAAACAAACTCCAAATTTACTTAAATAATAACCCGAGCTGAGACAAAATAGGAGATTCAAAACTATGGGGAGAATGCACAATAAGTGTTTATTTCGCAATCAAAAGGTAAAATCAAAAGTTTTGATCTCGATATCTATTATTATTCAAAAATATCTACTATTTTTCTAAACTACACAAAGTCATTACTGCTATCTATAAAACAATGAAATCTGCATGAACCTTGCGTGAATATATCATTGCAACAAATTCGAAATGCAAGAAAATTTATTCAAGTTCATCAAAACTTTAAGTTATCGTAGTTGCTGCTTTGTCCCAAAAACCTTACCGATAAATTTGGAAAAAAAAAACAGTAAATGAATTGGGGTGCTGAAACGTATCAAGGTAGTATTATGCGAAGCAGCTAGGCCTTGGTGTACATTGCCTAAGGATAGACTGCCACAAAACAGTTGACCTTTATACCACCAACAAGTGATGACGTCCATGACATAACCGAGGACCATGAGTTCCAATTTTCTGATATAAGAGTTATACTGCTGATATAGGATTTGGTATAAAGCTCAACTGTTTTTGCTTCAATTTCTAGAAGTTATGTAA